GATTACGTGTGTTGTGATTCATTGACAGCCATACCTTCTGCTTTTCAAGATAATGATGACTGGTATATAATTTAGTTATTAGCGGTACTGCCTTTTAATTTTAGAAAGCGCAAATCCGCTTATGAATTATAAAAATTAGTAAGTCCGCTAAAGCGCAAATGAAATATTTAGGTCCGTAATTAGTGGATTTGCGCTTTAGCGGGCTGGTGCCCACCACTGGTAATTACCATAATTAGGCACAAAATGGTCCTCCAGCTGTTTCTTATTCAAACCACTGACTTTTACATCCTTTTGTTGTCCCTGTACCAGTGTTTTTGAGGCTTTAAAATTTAAAGTAAACATTTTTCCATTAAATTGTACAGGTATTTGATTAACTGTTGGATAAGTTTACTATGTTCCGTTGTGAATGAAGTATGATCACTGCCATCTGTTTTATTTAGCCTTCACACAACTTTGATCAGAACTGAGGTTTGGGTGAAAGCATGACTTCACATGAAGCTGGAGCAGTGTGTTCAACGTTTACCTGAATGTCTCATCACTGTAACTGGATTAACGAAAGCTKCCAGCACAAACAAGGCTTGAGCCATGTGTTGAAGGCTGAGCTGCTCTCAGGTCAAAGTGCTGTTAGCTCCTGATGACTCTGTGTTTCTGAGTGTAATCCAGTGTTTCGCTCTGTCACCGTCTTTCCTCTGACCTAAAGTTTGGATGTTTCCTCTCAGGGSTTGGTGCCGTCCTGTGGGATGGGTGACGGCCAAGAACAGGACCAGTACGAGGAGCGCCTGAAGGAAGTCTTTTACAGTTTTGAYGCCAGCGGCTGTGGCTCTCTGAGCTCCGAGGAACTCTCAGACCTCTGTCAGTCTCTGCACCTGGATGAGGCCACACCAGCTCTGTTCCACAGGCTGCTGCAGAACCAGGACCACCTCAGTGCCAGGGTAAGATTGACTCAGAATCAGAACCTCTTCTGATGATTGGGCCATTTGTGATCTGTTTATTTTATTTTTTCTTTTCTTCTGGTCTTTTATCTTTTTCTGTCTTTTTGCTGCTTTTCTTGCTGTCTTGTTGAGAACATTTATTTCCTCTCATCGTTGTTCAACTCTGCATCTACCACCCTGACAACTTGCTTAATGAGTATTCCCAAATRTATTTTATTCTTTATGTGGAAATGAATCAAACTAAAGAGCCAAAAAGGATCTGTGTTGTGATCTCACAGTACTGTAAGATGCAACCCTCAGACTGTGTGTTGTTGGATTAACTCTCAGCTACTGCCACCAAATATTTGCTCATAATTAGCTGAGTTGTGACCATTTCTTTGTTGGCTTTAGTGGCAACCTTGAATTGGATCAACTCAAAAAATGTATTCGGTTTTAGATTTACATTAGGGCTGCAGCTAACTATCATTTTAGTAGATGATTAATCTATTGATTTATACTGACGATTGATCGAGTAATCGGATATAAACAAAATTGCCATGTTCTGCAGTAATTAAGTTTATTTTATGAGAAATACAATTATTTAATATTGTGAAGGGGTAATCTTGCTGCTGACCC